ACCGAAACTATCGAACCTTTCAAAACGATACCCAGGGCATCGCAGTTAAACGTGAACTCCAGGTGGCCTGACCTACCTGTTCTGGGCACTCTGAAAAGAAAGCAGGGCCCTGGCCTTGTGGCTCAGCTGGTTGGAGTGTTGGCCAGCGCATCAAAAGGTTGTGGGTCTGATCCCCAGTCAGGGCACATACCTAGGTTGCTGGTTCCACCCCTGATCGGGGTGTGTATGGGAGGCAACCAATCAATGTTTCTCTCTTTCTCTCTTCCCCACCCCCTTCCCCTCTCTCTCTCAAATCAGTACACATATCCTTGGGTGAGGGGCGGGGAGAGAAAGCAGAAATAACAATTAGCATCATCTGTCATTCTCCTAGTACTTGTTGCTGCTGGTACACATCAGGAGATGGATGACTTCATGCAGCAACCCTCCCAGACCACCTAGGTGGGCAGGAAAGACCTTGCTGGCCTGGGCTCCCCAAGGATCTGTGGGAGGAGGCACTCACTTTGATACAAAAACTGTCAGACCAGGGAAGAAGATGCAGGCTGTCTAAGTGCCCTTTTTTTTTCACACTAGAACTTAGTAAACTGTGGTGTACTGAACATAACCAAATATATATTTTTAATGTTTATATATCCCCTTTATTCGGTTAATGATTTTAATAAATATATTTACTCCAAATATAAGTATGCGGTATCCACTCAAATAAGAGAGAAAATAATGGAATTAAAGGGGCTGGTTGGAATAATAAAAAACTCAAGGGGAAGAAAACTGATGATGTGTCTCTATTAGCTTCCTTCCAGTGGGAGTTGGCTGAGCAAAGGAAACACTGAACTTCCTTAAAGGGAAGCAGAGATTTCAAGCCTAATTATGCCGATGATTAGAATTCCCTTCCTTCCCCCAAGGTAAAAAGAAAATTCACTTGCTGGACTTGGGCACAGATCTGACTTAAGTCTTTTTTTTTTTTAAACACAGACTGGGACATTTGGCCAAAGACAGCAGGCGAGCGTCAAGTATCGCCTCAGCAAGCACGGGGCCTAGGGCAATTCAAATGCTTCCCTTCAGTCCCCCTTGTAAGGAGGAACAAGGCATCCCTAGCTCCCAGAAGTGGGACTGGCTTTTCCAAATTGCTTGTTTCCCCATGATAACTGTTTCTTAAAGAAGCTCCTAATTATTGCCCTAGCAGGGTGGTTCGGCTGGAGTGTCATCCCGGTACACCAAAGAAAGGGTCACGGGTTCGATCCCCTGTCAGGGCACATAGCTAGGCTGCTGATGGATCCCTGGTCTGGGTGTGTCTGGGATGCAAGGGATGTTTCCTTCTCACCTCCGTGTCTGCCTCCGCTCTCTGAAATCAATAAACATATCCTCTGGCAAGGGTCAAAAGAGAAGTAGCAGCTCCTAATTACAACTGACTGTGATGATAACACAGCTTCCTCCTTAAGAAAATGACCGGTAAAACCTAGAATAGTGTAATAACCTATATTTAGTACTGAATAGAAATGGAATTGTAAAATGAACCAGTCTACCTGAAATCATAACACGGATTTTTAAAAATATTCTCAAGTTGAATTTTTACCTGCTCAACCACTGATCTGAAGACTTTAACAGAGTATCCCAAAATAGAATGAATTGCTGGGTAAAATCACTACATTTTTTTTTAAAAAAGCATGCTTTTTTTGTGTGTAAACTTACTTCACTTATCCCAACGTGTGGTTTCCAGCACAGTACTTGCTACTTACCATGCCTGACTCGAGAATCATTGCGAGAAAATGAGAACTTAGGTGGATTTCACACACGTTTAAAAATACTTCTAGATAGCACTCACAGACACAACCGTTTACAGACACACTTCAAATGTATCACCTACAGGGTCCGCAGAAGTCGTGAATATTCTCAGTGACTCACGGTTTCACGCCAGGCTCAGACACCCTGTTTTTGGTGAAACCTGGCTAAGATAAACCCCCACAGGGCCTTCCTAGTTGCAGAAAAGGACAATGAATTATCCTAAAGGCTTATGGGACCAATGGCTTAAGAAAGAATAAAAGGGACAAGAAAAAAAAAGCAAAATGAGTCTGTCCCTCCCGACAAACGTGCACACGCCCGTGTGTATATATCTAATAATAATAATATTTATTAGGAGGAAATCCCTAATTCCAAAGCAGCTCCTGGAAACTGGCTTTATTTATACAAGCAGTCCAGGCGGCTCCGCCCTGGCCCCCAGGGTGGGACGCAGCCGCCCAGGGCAGCTGCGCACCCCCCACCTCCGCTCAGCTTCCCAAAGGCCGAGAGTCAAGTTCACGTTTGGAAATCTAGCCCTGTCCGTATCGTCAAACAAAGCTCCCTTAAAAACAAGGACTGTTTTGAAATGCTTATATCTCATCTCTTTATATTCCAGAAAGGATTTCTTTGGAGAGAATAAAAAACAAACGTCCTGAAACGCCTAGTATCCCAAGGCTCTGTTCTTCAAGGGTCCCAACTGTTCAGTTCACAGCCAGCCTCGGTCCCTCGCCCACACCTGCGCCCGGGGACAGCCGGGTGCAGCTCAAGTCGGGACCCGACCCGGGACGCACACCTTGGGAGCGTGTCCTCTGAGGGCGGAGGCTGAGCACCAGGTAGTGAGGGGAGGTGACTGGGTCCGTGGAGGGACTGGCACCGTCCACCTTTCCAATCACTCGCTCCCCCGAGGGTTCATGCTGCCGGGCTGCGGGCAGGGCGGGCGCGGCAGAGTCCGGGAAGCCGCCGCCGCCCCCGAGCGCCTGCCCGCTGGCGGAAGGCTCTTCTTACCTCTCGGGACTGGCGGAGCGGCGGCCGGGGCCCGGGCCCGGGCGAGCCTGGTGGCGAGAGGGCCGGCGGGCGAGCAGCCTCAGGGCCCGCGAGGCAGCGCGCCCAGCCTCCGGCGTCCGGGACTGCGCGCCCCGGCCCGCTGCGCGGTCCGACCGCGGCCCCACCCGGGCCCGCCCCCGACGGCGCGGGGAGGGGGTGGGCGGCCCTCGGAGGGCGGGGGCCTGTGCGAGCCGGCCCGCCCACCCACCCACGTGCTCCGGGCAGCGCATCCTCTGCCGCCCGCGCCCGGCCGGCCCGCGGGGGACCGAACACCCCGCAGGAAGCGCGCGCGCGCCCCACCCGGGGCCCGCGGGAGAGGGCGCAGACACACACCCATAGCCCGCGGGAGGGACCCGGGTTTTAAGCGGTCTCCTGACACTTGACATTCAGTCGCTTCTCTCCCGCGTCATTTTCCTCTGGGGGAACACAAAGTAAGCCAGTGAAGTGACACGACTGGTGGGGTGGAGACATGGGTCCCCAAAATACCTGGTTGCCTAAATGTCATGGAAGCGTTTCAAAAGAAAACAGTTGAGGGGGAAGGCTCATATCCGTCATAGCAACACGAAGGAGACTCTAATCCGCAGGTTAAATTCTTTTTGTAAACGAACACGAAGGAATCCCGTTCCTCCTGGTGTAACAGTTGTTTCTGAGTGCAGTGCAACACCATTCACCATTTGCTTCTCTTTTTCACAAATACACCGCTCAACAGACAAAACTAATGTGGGAACAGAAGTCACAGGACAGTGGTGGCCTCCAGGGCGCAAGCGACTGGAAAGGTCCACCAGGGGACTTTTGGGCATGACAGATGAGTTCCGTTCGCTGGAGTGTGTGTGACAGGGGTTTTGCATTTCTCAAAAGTATCCACTTTAAGTAAGATCTGTGGATTTCACTTTGTAAGGCTCACCTCGATTTTTAGAACTCTTAAAACAGCATTTGCGGGTCCTTGGATCTATCAGTTAGCCTTTTAAAAATAGCACAATTATTCCGTCATCAGAAGTTGTTGGAAGTACCAGGATTGCTAATTCTAGAATATTAATTAAATCCATCCAAAGTTTCAAAAAAAGGGGCTTTAAGGCCTTCATTCAACTTCACTGCCAGTAGTTACCCAGACTCACATCCATTTATCAAGTTGGGATTCCTTGTCAACTACATGATATAGTCTCCGGCGTTTTCCTTTTCCGGTCTTTTTTTTTTAAGATGTTATTTATTTTTAGAAAGAGGGGATGGGACGGGGAAAGAGAGCAAGGAAACCTCAATGTGTGAGAGAAACATCCACAGGTTGCCTCTTGCATGTGCCCCACTGGGGACCTGGCCTGCAACCCGGGCATGTGTCCCGACTGGGAATCAAATTGGGGACCCTCTGGTTTGTGGGAGGACGCCCAACCCCTGAGCCATGGACAGGGCCCATGTTACACAATTTAAATAGATGAAGTGGGTCTCAGACAGGCTGGGCTCTGACGAGTCTGGTTGAGAAGCTCTTGGGAGGTGGGTAGAGGACACAGATTTAGGTTTGTGAGTCAACTCATAACACATAATCCAAAATCACTCATTCTAGTTAATACTTTAACTAGGACACTACCATGTATAATCACTGACTTAGGCCCGTGGGAATTCAAAAGTGTGATTTGACAATCCTTGAACTTGAAGGAAACCAATTTCTCTATTTTCTTACGGCATTCAGACAATTATAGAACAGTACAATATAAAGTGGAGTTTATTGGACAGACAATAACTTATGGAGCTTAGAGATCGTAGAGTCGTGCACTGGAAACAAACTTTTCTAGAGCAGGTAGAATTGGTTATGGGGGAGGGGGTGGGGAAGTGAGTGGGAAGAAAGAAGGAAGTTTGGATAGACAAGGGAAATGCGCCCCAGAAATAGGAAGGGGGGGGTACCATGCGCTGTTCCCTTGACCCAGTGCCTCCCACCTGCTGCTGACCACTTGGTCCTCGTGCGTGCTTTACCGAGCCCTTCCCCTCCCGCAGGCCTTCCCAGATGCCTCCGTCGGCCCGTGCGCGCACCCCTTCCGGGGCACACCCGTCATTCTGTCCTTGGCGGAGGCGCTCGCACGTCCACGCCCGCAACAAGCCCACCCTCTGAGGGGCTGCAGCCGTGTCTTACTCTCTCTCGCATCCCACCCCCCACCGGTGGCCCACAGAGTTCCTCACACGAAGTCGGTATGTAGTAAGGAATCTATTTTTTAATTGAATTCAATGGGAGATAAAGTAGGAGGAAGTGAAGCCAAACTTATAACGGGTAAACACATCAGAGTCCATTCACTCAATACACATTTATTAAGTGCATGCCGTGTGTCAGGCCCTGCTCCAGGCTCTGAGAATGTATCCGTGAACGGGCAAAAATCTCTGCCCCCATGGAGCGTCTACTCCAGATCTGTCGTGAGAGATCGGATTAGCGATAGACTTACATAAATTCAACCTTACCTACCAGCTGAAAAAGAGACACACACATTTAAGGAGTTTAATTATTGGGGCTCTACAAGCCTCTTGTTGATATGTAGTTTTTATTACACATCGTACGTACTAAATTCATAAAATATTCATGCCCATGCACTGCTATAGGAACTCTGATGTAAGTAAGACTGCACGTAGAACTTTATTGGCAATGTAAGAGGTTTTCAGGATCATTTTGAGCATGTCCGATTTTATACTTAGGCACAGCGTTCAAAGCCTAGCCACCTTGTGAGCTGCGACTCTACTGCACCACAACGGAAGCTCTGAGATGGCTGGACGAAGAAGCACCATGTTAAGGGGCTGGGCACGATGACCCGGATTCCCATCTGGTCACCGCGGTCCGGCGCCAGTGGGGAGGGCGGAGTGCATTCACGGAACACACCTGGCTGGTCGGCGGTGGAATCACATCCACGACTTAAAACAAACAGTTCCGGAGCCGCCTGCCATGCTTTTCAAACCACTGAGCTAGTGAGAGCTTGAGGTCATTGATATTTATAATCGACTCTTGATTATACGTCTAAAAGAACACATTGTACCAAACACTGGCTTACTCTGACGAAAGGTTTATCATTTTCATATATTTTTTCAAGGAGTATTTAAAAAGACACCAAGTTAAGAAAAATCATTTTTAAATTTTGCAATAACTCTATATACATTAATATCAGTCATTTAACCTTGAAAACAATCTTCAGTTGTACAGTGTAAAATCTTCTTGACAGTATGTGCTGAGAAATATTCCACTACCATAAAGCTACAGATCGATGCTCCCAAGAGCAAGGTTAGGAAAATAAAAACAACCATTATATTGTTACAAGCACCAAGACAGAACTTTTTTGTACTTAGCGCCCAATTGATTGCATTTAACATAACCTCTATCAACAGAGGACCAAAAAGAAAAGATAAAAATATATATACTGAGGTCTGGAAAGAGTGAAGAATGCCCACTTTCAAAATAAAGCAATGAAAGCAATCATATTTGTTTTTAAATTTTTTTTTTGCAAAATATAGTCATATGCCACTTCACAGCCGCTGTAGTTCACTTTGCACAATCCGGATTGCTCCGTGCTTGCTGGCGCGTTGCTGCGCTAATGTGAGCACGCGTGCTGAACCGTGGGAGTTTGCTGTCAGGAGTCCGCACGGCTAGCGCTGCATCCAGTGGCTCAAACAGTCTCAGTTCCGCAGCCCAGAGACCAGGGGGGAGGGGTGGGGGGAACATGCAAACAAGTTTCCACTATGGCCAGACAGTCCCAAAAGACTTGGGCAGCCGGACCCTGAACTTTCCCCCAAACAGCATCAGTCACCGGTTACCACGCAGCATCGGCTGCGGGTCTGCCGAGTGAAGCCCGGGGCAGGACGCCTCAGCCAGCACATTCCCGAGACACTGGAGGAGGTGTGGCGGCCTCGGCCACTTTCCGGTGGGATCAGGGATGGACTCTGGCTGCTCCTAGGGGGACCCCTCCCAGCAGGCACCTGGAGCAGCCTCTTCACTTAGTGAGGACATCTCAGGGACCCCAGGGGGTGACACTGGGGACCGCCTCCTCCGGCTCTCAATGGTTCCCTCCACACAGAGCCCGTCCCTCCAGAGACTTGGCCAAAACCCATCAGTCCAGTCCCCGTGACTCAGTCTCAGGAGGAGGGTCCTTTTGGTGGCTGTCGGGCCCCCGAGTTGGAGGTGCACTCCACGAACCGTGAGCTGTACAGCCAGACACAGGAAGTCAGGGAGGCCACGGGAACACCCGAGCCACCTAAACTCAATGTGGGCCAGTTTCTGTCACCTCCGTAGTTATTTTTCAGCTGGAAAGTTTCTCCACAAGACGTATTATGTATGGGGTGAGGAAAAACTAATTGCTAGAATATGATAGCAAGATTTTTACAAGTTCAGGGTGGAAACTCCTTGAGGAAAGGAAAAGGAGACATCACTTCTCCACTCCTATGCCTTGGCCTTGAGGTCAAAGGGCACCAAAGTCCCCACACTGGTCAAAGCTTCTCCCAGCCCCTGCACCCACACACGGTCCTAGGGACTTCCTGAGCCATCTGCTTCCCAAAGCTGCAGTCGTAACTCCGGGCATGCCCACACAGCTCTTTAATTCAGCTTCAAAATGCACAGCGTTCTTTAACAAAATGACATAGTTGCATTCTTTACATGCCAGGCATGAAACCACCGCTTGGAAAAAAAAAAATGAGTCAGATAATACCTACGCAAGTGGAATAAAATTCCCTCCACTTGTAAGGTGCTTCACTGGGTCTGGGGAGAGCCGCCGAGACCCCCATGGCGGAGGGCCCCCGGCAGCGGCCTCGGGTGGCGCTGTGCACGCGGACGCTCTGCCCCAACGTCGGTGGGTCCTCGAAGGGCACGGCGGCGGGGCTCGCTTCGTGGAAACCCCCCAATAGGGGCACATTAGACACAGACAAACTGCACTTATTTACAAGCCAGTGCGTTTTAGTCACACCGAAATAACAACCTAACCTGTCCAGACACGCGTTTCTTTTTCTTCCCCCATGAACCAAATTCCTTTCTTTAGAGAATGGTGAGGTCTGAAGGTCAAGACAAAATCCACCGTATTTCAAGGTAAACCGTGAGGGTTCGAGACAGCTGTGGCATGATTTCGAATTCACATTGGCATCCATTGTTCTGTATTTTCCTAGACTTGCCCTAAATCAGCTTCCGAGACCGTAATATTTAGGGAGAAATTAAAAGCGTTTTACGTTGTCCTGCAGAGCTCCGGTGGATTCTGAGTGTATAAAATACGAAAATCCCTTAGCTCTGTGTCATGAATAAATTCGGGTAAAACCGTAAGCCTTCCACGGAGTCGTCCCGGCAAAGATGGCCCATCTTCTCTGCGAGAAGCAACCTGGGGGTGGAAGGAGAAAGCCAGTCACCTGTCGGTTTGGAAGCACAGGTCGTGATGAGGAGCGAGGGCCTCGCTTACCTTTCTTTAGCCAGGAGGACAGACATGCCCACCAGCTTGGCAAACTCTTCTGACGTTAGGGACCCCTTCTCTGAAACCTGCTGGAAGCACACAGCAGGGAAAAAAAACACATCGTCATTTAGACCACCTAGGTACTAACCGGAGAGACTGCCTACCAGTTATACTCAGGAAATAATTTCCTGAATTTTCTACCCGAGTCCAAAGAACATTCACTACAGAACTAAGGCTTCCTCACTCATGTTTAATTCTGAAAAAGCTGAAGGACCCAGGTTGAATAATGTAGAGGCTAAAATAACATAAAGCCCTCTATAATATAATAAAGGCTCTATACTAAGGTCTAAAATAAGTCTTTGATCTTCTGAAAAGGAACATATAACAAGTTCTAACTGAATTCATGTCACATGATCCAGTGAAGGCCATATATACAGGTTTGGCTTCAAATACGTGGTTGAAATAGCTATAGTCTTGGTTTTTTCATCTAGTTTAAAATAAAACATGTAATAAACGTGAGTTATTTAAATTATACAGGCTCACCACAGAGTTTATGCAGGCAGTAATATTTCAAGTACCCTAATGAGTATTAGCAGCCTGGCCATAAAATCCATCTAAACTGTAGTTGCTGTTCATATTTTTTTTTAAAGATTCCAATTACTTATTTTTAGAGAGAGAAGAAGGGAGGGAGAAAGAGAGGGAGAGAAACATTAATGAGTGGTTGCCTCTTGCACACGCGCCCCCCCCCCCGGGGACCTGGCCCGCAACCCAGGCATGTGCCCTGACTGGGAATCGAACCGGTGACCCTTTGGTTTGCAGGCCAGCACCCAATCCACTGAGCCACAGCAGCCAGGGCTGTTCATATTTTTTGAAACAATTATCTCATAGAACAACTGGTGGTGTTTTATAATGCTGCTTGTGTAGGTGTTGCGGAAGGAAAAGTTCTGTCATGGAAAACACTCTCATTAACAAAGTTAAAAACCTGTTCTCAGGACTGAGCTTCAAACAAAAAGAGAGCACCTCATTAATTTTAATTCTCCTTTCTTTCAAGATGTTTTGAGTGTTAGCAAGCTCTGAAAAGCTTTCAAAGAAGAACTCTGATGACTGTTTACCCATTGTTCACGGTGACCCATTTTTAACTGGGCCGACAAGTGTGAGCGGTGAGTGAAGTCCAGGCCGAGAGGAAATCCTGGTCCCCGGCGGCCGGGCACGGGCACCGGCCCGCCCAGCACGCCCTGGCGCCCGGAGGAAGCCGGGCTCACGTACCGTCTCCAGGGCCGAGGCCACCATTTCCTCTTCCTTGTGGGACTGGAGCTCGATGACCATGACGCCGCTGTCGAACACCCGCAGCCTGAGACCTCAGGGGTGGGGGGGGAGAGCGGGGCAGTGAGGACCTGCGACCTTCGACCCCCGAAAGAAGGCAGAGGCGCAAGCGCTTCTCACCGTCTTCCACGCCCCGGGAGGGGGGCAACGGTAACACAGGACAGCAGTTAAAACTAACCACCACGAGCAACTATGGCATAGCTATAACGCTCACGAATGAACCGTTCATAAAACTGTGAACTACCATCCATAGGCTAAAAAAATACTTCTGTCTGGCTATTTTTTTTTTCAGTTTTCATTTAGTTTTATTTTTTTAACACTTTTCAAACACAGCTGACATTCAGTGCTATTTTGGATTAGTTTCAGGTGTACGACGGTGGCTAGATGGTTATGCAATTTACGGAGTATCACCCTGATGACTCCAGGACTGGCCTGGCACCACGCACAGCTGTTACAACAGTGTTCCCTCCCTTTGCTCTCCGCCGGGCCGCACACCCCGCCCGGCTAATTGTTTTTTAGCCTGAGGATGAGGAAAACACAATTCGCAGCTGAACAGCTGCACTTGTGAGTCCCCAGGGACAAACACAAACCATCTAAGGGAAGAGGGGCTAGCGACCGTGACCTTGTGGGCGGGGCCCTGTGGGGCCCTGTTCTTATCTCTCTGCCCGGACAGCGCAGAGTCAGACCACCACGCCCCTCGGGCCACGCACAGGACGGAAGCCAGGGTGACGGAGGTGCGTGTGGTGCCCGGTCTGTTCTGTCGACATTAATCTCAGGCCGGCCAGGTGCTGGCTCACCCCTGGGGGCGATGGGCGGGGGTGGGGGGGGGGTGGCGCTCCTGCTCCTGGCCGGGCCCTCCCGTCTGACTCTGCAGGGCAGTGGCCGCAGCTGGCCAACTCCCTGCGGAGGTGTTCGTACCTGAGAGGTAACTTCAGGGCCTCCAGCATCTTGCATGCGTTCACCAAGTCTTCTGGCGAGAGCAACTAATGGGGGGGGGGGAGGAAAAAAATCCAGTTCACACTCCAATGAACGGTGTGACGCTGCACAGTTATAGTGACCACTACAGCAGAAGAGGAAGTTTAAAGATGATCACTCATCAAGGGTTTTGGGTGGCTTGATCACTACAAGGCAAAAATATCAGTGAAGAAGCAGAAATTTCTGTCCGTTAAAGCAGTGCTAGCCAATACAAACAGAATGCGCATTAAGTCACACACGTAATTTTAAAATCTTCCAGTAGCTGTATTAAAAAAGTAAAAGAAACGGGTGAAGCTAATTCTAAAAGATATATACCCAATATGTAACAAATTCAGCATACAGGGTGGGGCAAGAGGAAGTTGACAGTTGTTTGTGTGGGGTATGATATAATTAATAAATAACAATATAAGAGTAAACTCTGTTTTACGTACTCACAACTGTGAACCTACTTTTGCCCCACGCCGTATAATCGGTATAAAAATCACTACTGAGATATTCAACATTTCCTTACTCCGCCCTGACTCCCGTGAATCCCTTGTGCGGTTTCACGCTTCCCGCACACGCCCACGTGGACTCCCCGTCCCCGCAGGCAGCCGGCTCGTGGCTCCCCCTGCAGGCCACGGAGCCCGAGAGAGGGAGCCCAGTGGGCCGGGGGCCCGGCTCGGCCCGAGCCACACCCAACGGCGCCGGAGCCAGCCCGGCCTGGGCCCGAGTCCCTGCCAAGCCACCGGCTGCAGGAGCAGCTTCGGTGAAAACACTCAGTCTTTCTAAGCCTCGGTTTCCCGCTCCGCAGGTAACCCTCGCCGCCGAGGAGAGTCCCGGGAGCTGCCTCCCGGGTCGCCGGGAGGACCGAGGAGGGGACACGCGGGGAGCGAGCGAGTGAACAGCAGTCGGGGACACTCACAGGGAGCCACAGGGCACGGGCTCCGCTCAGGGTGGGGCTGCGTGGGGGGGAGAGCGGGAAGGACGGGGCTCACTGGTGACGCCACGGAACTGCGTCTGACCCTGAGGGCACGAGGAGTGCCGGACAGAGCCCTGGTGGCCGAGGACACCCGGGTGCGGAGGGTCAGCGAGAGCCGGCTCACAGCCCGGGGAGCGCGGCAGCTGTCCCTCGGTGGTCGCTCGGGGCACTCTGTGTCCGGCCCCCAGCACACGCACAGACCTCTGCAGCGGGAAGGCAGCCGGCGGTCCAAAGGCTCATGTTAAAGGCAGGAAGACTGAGTCCGAGAGGTCAAGTAAGCCAGCCAAGTGCACTGGGCCGGGCCGGCCCGGAGCCCCCCAGCCCCCAGAGCGGTGCTCTTCACGCGGCACCGTCCTCTCTCTCAAAACCGTCTTCACAGCCACAGCCCTTCCTCGGGTTGTGCTCCCTGTGGGGGGCCTGTGCTACATGGAGAAAGCCTGTGTTCAGCTGTAAAAGAAGGAGACCTGGGTATTCTGTGCTCACCTCCATCCCGCGGGCTCTGTTCACTAGGCAGTACACCTCCGTGAGCGACATGATGCCCCCTCGCTCCTGGGAGGACGAGAAACGCGGGGGAAGCATTACGTTGTAAGTAGCACCCGTTGGCGTGTCTCAGCAGTCACAGTCGGAGTGGAATCAGACGTCACAAGATGTCTTCGGAAGCTCTTAAAAACACTACTTACTCACAGGAGAACTTAGATACCATCAGACATTTCAAGTTCAAAATCTGGACTTCAATGTCATGATCACTGTCAACATTTGCTTGGAAGAAAAGAGGGCCCTGCACCGAGTTCCCACGTGTCTGAGATTCCGGCCGACTGACAAGGCGCCGCTAGAGACCTGGGTGGGAAGGGCACCACCTCGCGGCTCCCACTGTGAAATTATGTAGACGGTGACAGCCAGCGGCTGCCACTGCCACAGACAGTCGGGCACATGGACCGGGAGTCGAGCTCCTGGCAGGGAGGCACAACCCCTTTATGAAATGTTCTCATCAGAAAAAAAACAACAACAACAACAGAACTTCTAGCTATAACTACCAGTGCACAGGGAGCCATGCTAACACACAAGTCAGCAAAACCCAGACTCCGAGACACTCAATCAGATAAGCCACTGGTTTCTTCAGTCAGTAAATCAGGGGCAGGGGTGGGGGGAGGGGGGAGGAGGGGAAACCCATAGAATTAAAAAGGAAAAACTTGAGAGACAAACCAACCAGTTGCAATGTATCCTGATTTGAACAAATCAACTGTAAGAGAACATGTGAACAAAAACTGGATATTTAAGAACAGTAAAATTACTTTTTACTCTTAGGGCTGAAAAGGGATTCTCATTACACGTGAAGGTGTGTTTGTTATCACAACCACACACTGGAGTGTCCGCAGATACAGTGATGTGGTGGCGGCCGGCGTCGGCCTCGGCCACGCCGGGTGCAGGTGGCCTGCCGGGGAAGCCGGGTGACCGGCACGTCGGGACGCGTGACACTCTTCCACTTTGCCGTGTGTTTGAGGTATTTCTTAATACTAGTACTTTAATAAATGAAGTTGTGATCACCTGAATGCCAGACTCGAAGAGAAATCTTACTATGAAACTAACAGTGCATGTGCAGCGTGGGGCGAAAGCAGGTTTACAGTTGTGCGTACACCAAACAGTTTATTTGTGTATTATTACTTATTAATTGTTGCGTTATTATCCTTACAAACTGTAAACCTACTTTTGCCCCACCCTGTCTATTGACTACTTATATACAACTATACCTAAATATATAGAGGTCATATATTTGTTTTTGAAAATAAGAGGTAAGAAAAACTTCATATCAAATAGACACAAAAAGTTATAGATATCTGAAATGAAAATTGAAAACAATTTAGAAGATTATTGACAAAGAATCTGTTCATAAGCACACTGAGCTAACTTCATATTCCTGAAAGACAACAACAGCATGTTGGTTGAACAGTCACCGCATCGTGAGAGCAGTGATGCCCTGAAGGTTTCTGATGACACGGAGATGACTTAACACCATTTCAAAAGCCCATGTAGGTTTGGTTTTTACCTCCAGAGGTGCCTGCAGTATCCCAGCCAGCTGCTTGGCCAGCTGCATGTGGTACTGAGTGCCTGAGCCGCAGGTTTCCCTGGTAACTGGGTTGGCTATTCCCATGCTCAGCAAATAGGACTTGAACCTGATGGTCTGTAACGAGAGGAAAAAATGCACAGAGACGATTCCGAATTAGTCTCTCTGCCCCGACACCCGAAACCCGTCCATCACAGATGCAGTTCTACTCCATTATTTCCCATAGTTCCCTGCATACATCTGATTATTCTCCCTTCCATCCTGCTGTCTCTCACTCCCTTTATCGTGCAAGCTTGGTGTGACAGGTGATTTAAATAACAAGTATGCTGTCGTTAATGCCAACCAAGGGCCCCGACAGCAAGCTCAGAAAAATGGCCGTGACCAGACTGTACACAGATTTAATGCGACATCAAACTTATGATGTATAAAATAGACAACTCCTTATATATTTCGGTATCTGTTTCATACACTCCAAGAAAAGCTACCAAAACACCCTATAATCCTACTAGAATGAACAATTTCATGGCTGACTTTCTCTTTGGCATTTTCACACATCTTCAAGTCCTAAAAGAAGTAAAACATTACATTAAGAAAGCAAACTGGGCCCTGGGCCAGCAGGGCTCAGTGAGTTGGAGCGTCGTCCTGTAAACCAGTAAGCCACAGGTTCGATTCCTGGTCACGGCACATGCCTAGGTTTTGGGTTTGGTCTTAGGTCGGGGTGCAAGAGATCAATGTTTCTCTCCCTCTCTCTCTTTCCCTCCTTATCTGTCTCTGAAATCAATGAGCATGTGTTCGGGTGAGGACAAAAAAAAAAAAGCAAACCGGTAAACCACCAAAGCACCAAAGCACTATCCCTGCGGTTTCAAATGCCTTGAAACGCGGCCCGTGTACCTCGTCCTCTGTGATGTCGCCTTGCTTGTCTTTGATCTTGTTCGCAATGGACTTGGAGAGCTCCACCATGTCCTTGGCCTGTCGGGAGAGCAGGGAGAGACTGGAGCAAACGCTGTCCCTGAAGTGTGCGCGAATAAAACATGCTTCCAGACTGCGCCGTAGTCGGCATCGATTTAACGGGCGTAAAGGACACATACCTTGACCATTAGCTTGCTGAGGTCTTCAAAGGCCTGAAATGAGAAATGAGTTTCGTTGGAATCTGTCTAAAGAATCAAAACGTTTCAAAGCAATGAAGCACCCTATTTTCTTCCCTATGATGAAAATGTACGAAATTTTCTTACAAATGTCAATTTATTTACATAAACATTTATGCAACTAATAAATCTGCCTGATTCTAAGAAGTCAGTTGAGCTAAGAAACCATACATTTCCCAAGACAAACTGTGAAAACAACTTTTCGAATTTTCATAGAGAGAAGTTACTATTGATTAAGCACACAGAAGGCGACATAAGTAATAGTTCGGAAAACAGTATTTTCTGTTCTTGGACACAAGCAAGAAAATCGGCCCCAGCTCCTCCCCGCACCCTCTCCTGCAGGGGCGCCACCAGATCTCCTGGGTGGAACCAGTGCGTGTGCAGCTGCAGCCACACTTTGGGCTCGGGTGGCAGGAGGGATTGAACCAGCGGCAGGAGGGAGTGAACCCAGACCCGGGCTCTCAGCCTCCGAACACTGAATAGATTATTAGGTCTGTGGCTTTGGATAGAGTGAGTGTAGCAAAAGAAAAACATTCGGATGCCACGAAAAGCGTTTCTAAGTAAAACCCATCAACTGTTTCATTTCCAACGGTGAATATCCTCCTCAAAGATCTCTCCCCATTGACTGAGACGTATGGTGTCACGTTACCACCGATACCCAGACAGGGCAGCACACCTCTGTCTGATCCACGTGCACGGATGTTGTTTCATAAGACCCACTAGGCAGTTTATCACCACCGACGACGGACTGTCTCCTGGCGCACAGGGAGCCGTGACCGGCAGCCCCGGAGGAGCCCAGCCCACCGCAGTCGCACGCAGGAAGGCAGCCCCCACCGGCGAGAGGACCCCGCTGAGGCCGAGCGTGGGGTGGGATCCTCGCGGCCCACTCCCTGATGCCAGCGCCGAGAACAAAGGGGAATGTGCACACACCTAACAGGAATTTCCTCCGATAAACAAAAGGCCCAGCGCTGGACGCTTATCAGCGGCAGCCAGCAGGGCAGGAAGCCTCGGGGGGGAAACGCAGGGCACCGGCTCGGGGCGCCGGGTCCCCTCTCGCCCCTCAGCGGAGGGCAGACCCCGCAGCAGCCCGCCCCCGGCACTGAAACACGCTCACACTCCACACTCTAGATCTTTACTTACACTAGGAAAAGAAGTGTAAGGACAAGGAGGAAGACGACACTTTTCATTTTATGTGGCAAATCAGTTTACTTACTATATCATGTGCATGTCCATTTAAAAATGCTAAAATAGCGCGCACAGAATACACGGACGAGCCCTTATTCCTTAGAGCTCATAAAAATGAATATAAATATGTTACACTTATAGAAGAACTCCCTATATTTTGAATAATTATGGAACACGAACAAAAGCTTCCTCACTTCTGTTTCTAATATTCTAAAATTTGAAATTAGCCAACGACCCCCAAAATGGGTGGAGACCACCTACAACACAATTAAAGCCGGACAGGCAACATGTGCTCATTCTATTGTTTCATCTGCCAGTTTATAGAACCTTCTGTCCCTCTGCCATGGACATTCTCCATTTCCATTCCAATTTTGAAAAAAGCGGCATCTACCTTAACACCGGAGGGTTTTCTCTTAAGCCATTTTGTGGCATTATTTCTTACTGACTTTCAGCCATCACTCTGGTCATTAGCTTCAGTAACTATTAATGTATGCTGAATTTTCTGTTCCAATATTCCGGCTTCTGTACCTTTGCATATTCCATTCCCTCCACCTGGGTCCTCTTATCCCTGCTGGTCATCCGCTGGCAGCGGCTGCACTTCCAGGCCCTGACTTCTGTCACTTCTGCTAACGAGCCTTTCCCCAGACTCCACCAGGAGTGAGAGGGCGGGTGGGTTCTGGCTGCAGCCACTATCTTCCCCCGACTCGGCATTGCCCACACAGGGTGGGGGAAGGCCATTTGCCTGCCTCCTCGGCCCCTCGCCGGAGCCCCTACAACTTCCGACGCCTAGCGCACACAGAGCGGAGAGCAGAGACCAGTAGCTGAGTAAATCGGGGACCCGCAGGGGAGAGCGCAACGCTTGTGTAGAATACTTTGAGTTACGTAACTGTGTGTGAAAATTAGACCGGAGCACGGTAACATTTCATAGATTAAGAAAAACATTGTGTTGAAAACTAAAGTAGTATGGTAGTGCTCAGAAAAAGGAACAGGAATAATGCAAAATTATTCTAATACAAAAAAATCTTTTTTTATTTCTCAATTTTTTTAAAGGTTTTATTTATGTACTTTGGAGAGAGGGTAAGGGAGGGAGAAAGAGAAGGAGAGAAACATCAGTGTGTGAGACATAAGATTGGTTGCCTCTCACAAGCCCCCTACTGGGGACATGGCCTGCAACCCAGGCATGTGCCCTGACTGGGAATCGAACTGGCAACCTTGGGGTTCATAGCTTGAAACTCAATCCACTGAGCGACACCAGCCAGGGCCAAAAATATCTGTTTAACTGTTCTAATAAGCACTTGCTAGTATCATCCCAAATCTGAACAGGAAGTATCAGTATGACCTCACGAGGCACTTTCATTTAAGAAACAGAACTAGCTCTTTCCATGGAAAAGGCCTAGAAATACAGGTCTATCTAACAGAGATGCATGTTCTTAACAGGTGGACTGTGGCTTTGAAATGCCATTTCTCACTAGGGAACGCAGGGCTTCTCAGGTGTGGCTGCTTCCACACCTGGGGCAGGATCTGTGGCAGGAGGTCCCGGAACCTTCGTCGCACCAGACCGTGCGTAAGCTGTCACAGCCCACTGGGTCACACCGAGAGCACTCGGGAGCCGACCTGAGGGGACCAGTGCGGGCCAAAAATGGGGCCATCTGAGCGTTACATGGAGTAATAACTGCCCTGATTGAAACCGATCAAGTACATTAAATGTATGAATTCATTATATGTGAAAAAGGAACGCAGTCACCTCTGGTGTACGTGGAACCGATTCATCCTCCTGATGATGAAGGAGAGGCCCGGGGCCTTCCTTCCCTACATAAACTGTTCTCTGAGCAGCCGAGCAGTAGATGAAGGGAAGCATCTCTTTTAAACAGTATCCCAACTGACAAACGAAACATAAATCATAAACTATGGGCATGGGCTGCTGACACCATCAAAAGGGGACAAGGGGTGCATCCCCCCGCAGAAGGAGCACGGACCTGCAGTCTCACCCCGGGGCCCACACCCAGGTCTGGCCAAGCCCCCGGACCGCTGACAACTTGCGGGAAGCACACGGGCCGAGGAACACGGACGGCTCTGCTACAAACCAGCTCTCAGCCAAGCCTAGACCACAGGCGCCAACAGGACGACGCCCTGGGTGCCTCCGCCACGGTGACCCGCACTTCCAACCAGCGGGCCCAGAACACGTGTGACATGGAGAATCCCGCACGTCCACTTAGCTAGGTCACGGGGCGCCCAGGTGTGTGATGGAATGCTGTTCCGAGCGTACCTGTGAGGGTGCCGCCACGTGGCACGCGCACCTGAGCTGGCACACCGAGTCAAGCAGACAGCCCACCTCGGCGTGGGTGGGCGCTACCCAGTCCGTGGAGGACGTGAAGGAACAAGACGTGGGAGGAAGGGAGACCCCGCATTCCCCCTGCCCGCTGCTCGCCCGCCGAGCCGAGACACCAGGCCGCGCCTGCGCGCGGACTGGACGGACAGGACTCGCCCCGCCCCGTGAGCCCTGGGGGCTGTCAGGCCCCGGAGCCAGACTAGACCTCGGCGCACCGGCTCCCCTGAGCCACCAGCCTGCGGGCGGCGGGCTGTGGGGCTTCTCGGTCCCCACAGTCACCTGAGCTGGTCCCGCACCTCACTGCGTGCGTGCAGAGGGAAGGGTCTAGATAACAGAGAAACAGATATCTGTACGTGTAGGGACAGACAGCTGTGGATGCCAGTTTACGTACAGCTCGATATCCATATATTTCCTGGGGTTCTGTTTCTCTGGGGAACCTTGACTAATACGGGAATTCAATGACTATCTGCAGTTTAAACTCTGATTGATATACATCTTCGAAATTCTATGAACCGCACTCATCAAAGGAATGTTACTTACAGACTGTTAGGAAAAACTACAGAATTATTTCACTGAATCATTTCATAAACACCCAACACCATCTTCACATTAGCAGAGGAAAACCGACGGTATGTGTGGAGAGAGTGACTAGTCTCAGGACCCCGTGGCCGGAGTTTCCCCCAGACGGCGCGGCATGGTGCCCACTCAGGGCTGCTCTCCGGGGCGTGGCCTGGTTGCCTCTTTTCTCGCCGTCTCTGTGCCGGGTCCCCAGTGGTCATCAGCATCACACTGTGTGGTGTCTGACCAGGGTGAGAGGCCATAGAATAGCATTCTTCCCCTCAACTAAGTTAACCAAACGTCCCACATAACGACACAGAGGGCCTTGAACTCACGAGGAGTATCCTCCAGTGAATTCCATCTAGACTGGAAAGGTTTTGTTTGTTTGTTCGTTTTTTAAGATTTTATTTATTTATTTTTAGAAAGAGGGGAAGGGAATGAGAAAGAGAGGGAGAAACATTAGTGTGTGGTTGCCTCTCGCATGTCCCCTACTGGGGACCTGGCCAGAAACCCAGGCATGTGCCCTGACTGGGAATCGAACCGGTGACCCTTTGGTTCCCAGGCCCACACTCAATCCACTGAGCCACACCAGCCAGGGCTGGACTGGAAAGTTTACACACCGCAACCCATGATATCTCCTACCAGCACAGAAAACAAATGGGCATGGCTGTTTTATTCCTTTTTGGAAAAAGTTTTCAAAACACATTTTGGCTAACTTTCGCCAGCCTGAGGTGGACCTGTTCAATGCAGTAAAATACTCTGCAGCTTCAGGCAAACTACTAAATATACGTGCCGATCCACAGAATGGAGTTAGTCCCAGCTGAACCCCAAAGAATGAACACAAGTGGCTGAAAAGGCAGCTGCCCGGGGCTTGTGTAAGGGGTTACCTCGGAAATGTTTTTGTCGGTTTCTTTTCTTTTTTCTTCCAGCTTCCTTTCAATGCCTACAATTCCTACAGCCCTTATTCTTCCTGGCTGAAAAAAAAAAAGTAGAAAATAAAACACACTACATAGGAAGGACACAGTCTTTTGTAACCCACCGCATTGTGTTTTCAATGGTGGGAAAGGACTCACACAGAACCAAAGAAAACAGCAAACAATACATCTCATTTCCTTTCCAAACATGTGTCAGTTTCTTGCTATATATGATGATCTCCGAGTCATTATAAAGAAGCACTGAGCAATCAATAACGGCATATTCCACTCTTCACTTTGGACAGTAATTAAATTTCCTATCCAGTTTTTCTCTGGCAAACTTAGATTCTGTATGTATCAGATAGTTACCAGCATCTCAAATGTGCAGACAATTGTAGTTAAACTTCTGGTACTTGGTAGCTATTCTACAAACTACTTTCACACATTGGAGCATCCATCCCTGGTGGGCGGCCCCGTGAGGCCGGCCTGGCAAACGTCCCCCAGGAGCACTGTCCGTCCCCTCCCTGGCCACACCGAGAGGGGACGACAGAGTGGGGTGAGTGGAACCCCCCTTCCTCCTTCTGAGTCACTCGGTTCCACTAAGCAGTGACTGTCGGCAGAACACTAAATCAGGTTCTGTGAACATTAATCTTTAACCCAACATCATTACTTTATTTCTGGAAAGTCCTAGCCTCACAAAATCGTCTCTCTTAGTGAAGATGCAGTGATACCTGGGGTCCGCGGCTGGCCTGGAAGGACTGGGGCGCCGGCATGGTCTCCCACCGTCTCTGCGTCATTTCCTCCGACAAACGCCTGTAAAACTGTCACACACACACACGGACATGTGGGGAGGGAGTGGGTTGGGCAGTGGCACCCTCGTGAAAATCCTTACTTCACGTTTCTTTACTTGAAAGCTCTATTCAGTCATTTGCAACAAGCCCAGAATTTTCAGAGACATCAAAGAAAATCAGAGGAAGTTCGTTTCTTGGACCAACTTCAGAAAGAACAAAGCAAAAAGAAAGAGAAGGAACTGACCTTCTCCATAAAGTGAGCTATTCTCAACAAAGAGATGAGTGACAACGAAATGAATAGACTTACTTTAAACAATCCTGCGGATTGTTTTCAACCTATAGTGAAACAGACACAGTGCCAAGAAAAATACACAACCATTATCCACACAGGAAGCAGAGAATAATCTGTCTGGTGAAAATGTGTATTCAGAAATTGAGGTCAAAACATGCCTCTGCTCACACACACACAAAATAACTGTATTTTTCACCCGCAGGGAAACTGACTTGCGTTAGTGACTGGTGCGCTAGTGCCCGCGTGCTAGTGCCCTGGGTGCAGGCTGCAGAAAGAGGGAACGTAAATGACGTGAGATACCGATGGGGAGACAAACACACTTGTAAGTGTCTGAGAATATTTATGCAGCCACGCAGTAATCAGAAAATATAAAGTAGTATGCTCTGGGAGAAGCGCTTCAGTGACTTGTGCAGAGTTTAAAAAGATTAAAGACCGCCTGCATTTAAGGTTGCTGAGCATTTAGATGCTGAGGTCAATCAGCACGTCAATGCGTCATTCTCCGTCCCTCCACCCAAGGGCGTGACTCCGCCTCCCCCCTCTCTCTCCCTGTGACTCCCACGTGCTCCTGCTCTCCGCTCCCACTGTCACCCAAGCTGCGTGTTCTCTACTGACCAGACTTAAGGTATCAGAGACATTATTGTAAACATGTGGGGAAGCCTGGTGTGCTGCCTTCATCATATCAACAATAGAGGAACACTATTGCTTCCATCACATTAACAAAACAACAAAAATATGAGGTCTGTCCAGGAAAAGTCCAGCCATTGTTAATATGCTGAGAATGGTTTGCACGACATCGATGTAACCTGGGGCCAAGGAGAGTGGACTGGAATGCGCATGTGTGAGCAATGAGGACTTCACTGCACTCGACAGTGGAGGTGGCAGATGCCATTGAGTGAGCATGTGTACTGTGTGGCTGTCACATTCAAAATGCCTGAGCGAGGACAGCAAAGAATCTGCATCAAAGTTTGCATTAAGTTTCAACATTCACCTGTGGAAACTATTCAGATTCTGGTCCCAGCTAGGGGCAACTGGTGACTGGCAGCTTCCTCATAACAATGTGCCCACTCATGCATCACATTTCATGCAGAGGTTTTGGCAAAACATCTAATCACCCATGTGACTCAGCCCCCTATAGCCCAGATTCGGTGCCCTGCAACTTCTGTCTTTTCCCAAAACTAAAATCACCTTCTAAAAGGAACAGATTTCAGACCATTGATGAGATTCAGGAAAACATGACAGGGCAGCTGATGGCAGCTGGGAGAACTGTGTGAGGTCCCAAGGTGCCTACTTTGAAGGGGACTGAGATACCACTGTCCTGTGTACCGTGTTTCTTATATCTTGTATCTTCAATAAATGACCTCATTTTTCACATTACATGGTTGGACACCTCCTGGACAGGCCTGGGATATGCAAGCACACACTTGTGGTCCATGTTATTCACAGAGAGACTCACCTCGATCTGGCCGTGCTCCTTGAAGGAGAGTTTGATGTAGGAGTTCCTGCTGCTCTGGAAGGGGCCTGGCTCTTTGTTAGCAGGAGCGGGATGCAAATGAACCACAATTTTGGCACTAAAACAAAGCATATGTGAGGTGCTCAGTTGCCTTTCTAAAATCACTAATTCTATTTTCATAACTTTTCATGTATTTCAGGTCACTTTTGAAACTCATGTAGAAAAAGAAAATTTTGAAAACGATCCTTTTAAAGTTTGTATTAATTCGATATTAATGAAACTTTGAAAAATCTCTCTACTTAAAATGTACAAGTTATGAGTGAAAAAGTTCAAGTGTCCAGGTCTACAGATTCAGTAAAATGTGGTTTTAGGAAATAAGCTGGAAATAAACGGGGTGGGGGGGTATGATTAGGGGTTCCCCACCTTCAGAGTCCACCCCAGAGGTCACCAGGGGGCCGGTATTTTCTGCCAAAGCACAGTACCTTCTCACACGAAAACAAAATGTGAAAACGTATCTGTGTAAACGGACCAGTGGACATTTCATTAAAACTCCGTCCAAAACTAACATTCTGTACTGTTATTTTGAGGAAATGCCACTCGATCAGCAGCATGACCCAGGAGGACACCCAAGAGCAAAACAATTTGCAAAACTCGGCTGCTGCAGGAACACAAACCGCCACCATCGTTACGACTGTCACTGTCTTCTTTGTGATGAAAAATACCACCATATTTGTTCAGTTTCATGTCTTTTTTCCTCCTTTTTTCCCAACTTGCTCAATAAACAATGTTCCATATTTGTTCAGTTTTATGTCTCTTTTCCTCCTTTTTTCCCAACTTGCTCAATAAACAATGTTCCATATTTGTTCAGTTTTATGTCTCTTTTCCTTTTTTCCCAACTTGCTCAATAAACAATGTTCCATATTTGTTCACTTTTATGTCTCTTTTCCTCTCTTTTTTCCCAACTTGCCCAATAAACAATGTTCTATAAAGATCAGCAAAACCAAAACACTTAGCAAAACATTTTGCACATCTAGCTTAAAGCTTTTTTATTTTTTTATTATTATTATTTTTAAGATTTTATTTATTTTTTAGAGAGGGGAAGGGAGGGAGAAAGAGAGGGAGAGAAACATCAATGTGTGGTTGCCTCTCACACGCCCCCTACTGGAGACCTGGCCTGCAACCCAGGCATGTGCCCTGACTGGGAATGGAACCAGCAACCCGTTGGTTCCCAGGCCCACACTCAATCCACTGAGCCACACCATCCAGGGCTGCTTTTTTTTTTTTTAATGGCCGCACTACAGATTCACCCATCACTCAGCTTTCCTTCATTTAGGACCATGTGGTTACCTAAATACCACTGCAAAGTTGAAATACCAGGTGCGGGGCCTCCTGAAGGCCCCCGATGTTTGGTTTGGTGAAGTGGGACTGGTTTGTGAGGACTCTTCACCTAGTGTTTACGGTGAAGCGTACGCGCCGTGAGCAGAGGAGCGGGCAAGCGAGCTCACAGGGCTGCGTGCAGGGAGCTGCCGAGCGGGTGGAGCAACGGGACCATGGCAATGCGGAGAGGGAGAGTGGGCAACAGCACGACCTCGTCTCCAAAACGGAAAATGCCGAGCCTTGTTGTCAGGCTTTCGTCAAAGGAAGCCCAATGAAGAGCTAAAATATTACGACACAACGTGAAGTTTAAAAACCCCAAAGTCAGCATAAACGACCCACGCCCATATTCTCACACACTGGTTTCTCGGGCCCTTCAATACCGTGTCTCATCAAGTTTGAGATCGACCAAATCGAAGAAGCATCTCGGGTCCAGAGATGTTAAAAGGGGAAAATACATTACATCCATCTTTACGTCAATGAGCCACGGTCAATGTCTGCAGGTGAGGGGAGCCGGGAACTAGAGAGAATCTTCAAGGAAAGTTAATCTGGCAAATTACCAAATCTCTCCTCACCGAAGATGCTCCAGAACAAGACACTGCGATGGAAGTTACTATTTTGAATACATTTGCTATGCTTTGGATTTCCTTGGAACACAGCAGAGGAAAATTCAAGTGATCTGCAACACCCTTAAAGTTTTACTTTGTGGAACTTCTACTTATTGAATATTATATACCTGAGACTAATATAATGCTGTGTGTCAATTATACCTCAATAAAAAAATAAAACAAATTTTAAAAAAGAACACACACGACGGGAAAAAGTGACAAGGGACAAAATATAAATTAGAGAAATAACCTACTCTGAAAATATATACCTTACTAATTTTTTAAAAACACTGCTTAGTTGCCATAATGTCAATAAGCAATCTTTCAGGCCAGCTGTGACATTATAATTAAGGCAGGCACCGCCTTTCCAGTAAAGTTCAACACACTTGATATCTCCTGAAGTATCCAGCTGTGCTAGAGCTAGAGATGGGCCAGTGTGAGAAAAAATTCCTTATCGGCAATATTTGTTCCTAAGTTGGTCTCAGTTACACGCACTTAAAACATAAAGCCAGAATTTTTGGCATACTTGAATATGCAGAAACATTCTAACCCGTGGTTTTAAACCAGGGTGGCCACATCTCCTGGTCTGCCGGTGACAGTCCCGTTTCAGGCTTGCCCCGTCCAGCTGTAAACAGTGCTCCTATCACTTTAATTGTCCCAGTGGAGAAGCTTAGTGACCAACTAGAAATAGGAGCAAAGCCCGTTCCTTTTCCCAACTCCGATTTTAAGTACAAAGTGATAAGACACGCGGACATTTAAAAGCAAAGGCCTGTGGAAATACATACAGCGACAGCTGGACCACATTTCTTTATTCCAACCCAGGGACACCACAGCAAACCCCAGTACCCGACTCCTGCTTGAGGATGGACTTTCATTTGTCCAGGAGTGTGAGGCGAGACAAGACCTTCTTAGGAGGACCCGCCCCAGGACTGCGACTTCTAACGCCCCCAGACACGACCGTGAGACTCACGTCCGCACACGCAGCCAGGGCACAGCCACACAGCGACCAAACCGATGACGACCGCGCGCACGGAAATGCACGTTGTGGACAGAGAGCGTCAAGGGCGGACCTTACCTCTTCCCAATGCCCGCCGCCTGCTCTTCGATGAACACGACCTGCGCGAGCGGAACGGCCATGCAGCACTCCTGCGGGGAGACGGGCAGAGGCCGCGGGTCAGGGGGCCGGTCGGGCGGCCCGTTTTACGGCACTTGCCGAGGTGCCAGGACGTTTATGCTACTTAGTCATGAAAACGGTGAAAGTCACGGGTTCCTTTCTTCCTTAAGTCAACTTAAGGAGAAACGGATTGAAAACAGCACCGCGGGGGCATCTCAGTGGAAGAACACTTATAAGAGGTTTAGAAAGAGCTGTGACTGCCACTGACTGCAGTGGGCACATCTTTTTAAAGTAGTATTCGTGTAAGACTTTTTTCATATAATATATCTTATATGAAAAAGAAAAGAGCAGGTAAATCGAAACAGCTTTACGGAGTGTTATCGATTCTTCTTCTTTTTTTTAAGATTTTATTTATTTATTTTTAGGGAGGGAAGGGGGAGAAGGGGAGAGAGAGAGAGAGAAACATCAATGTGCGGTTGCTGGGGATTATGGCCTGCAACCCAGGAATGTACCCTGGCTGGGAATCGAACCTGGGACACTTTGGTTCCCAGCCCGCGCTCAATCCACTGAGCTACGCCAGCCAGGGCTGATTTTTCTTCTTTATAATATTCTCTACTCACCCACACACAATTTTTAGCAGAAAATACTAATGTAGCTTTCCTTTATCAGTGAATGTTTAAAATTTTTAAAAATTATTATATATGACTAGCATTCAATGGCTGGTTTAAAAATTTCTAAATTAGTCTCTTTATATAATAATACAAAATTATACTAAGATTAACTTAAGACAGCTTTTTTTTAAACATACAGTTTAAAGACATCTATCCCCCCAAAAAGAGTTCTTTCCTGAAAGTGTATTTCTTTTAAAAGAATTAGAGAACATTAATAGTTCTAGGGCATGCATTATCAACAACAGAAATATCATGAATAAGGGGAACAAAAATTTGGCTCTTGAGGAGCGAAAAGAGTCTTATATGTTGCCATGGCTAGTGACCTTACAAAGAACCTCAGTACGGTCAGCAGGGGTGTCAGGCCTTTTGGCATGTCTCTGGGCCACCCTGGAAGAAGAAGAGTTGTCTCGGGCCACACACTGAATACACAAACACTAATGAGGACTGATGAGCAAAAAAAGAGGTTTTAAGTAAATTTGTGACTTTGTGTTGGGCCCCATTCATAGCCATCCTGGGCTGCATGCGGCCCACGGGGTGTGGGTTGGAGCACCCCTGGCACCGATTATCCGTGGAATTAAAATTTCATGGGGGGCAGTATTATACAAACAACGTAAAGGAGATTGGTTATTTTACTGGTGATACTGAAATGTATTCTCAGACACATACACATACTTTATGGTTAAAGCTCTTGGGAATAAAGCTATCCACTCTGTACACATAACTTTTCTCTCTCGATAGAAATGAAAAAACAGGGGTTTCCCCTCTTGCCGAGGGACCTGAGGCCCTTCTTCTCACTGTCCATGTAAAAGCGCGCGTTTTCCAGCAGACCCGTCCCCGTGATTCTCGACAGCAGCCAGAAGAACGGGCTGTGCGGGGGAGGAACGAGTCTTTCCAAGGGCCCCTGCCCACCGGGGTGAGAACTTCCCGTTACACATGGAACGCCAGGCACCGGGTGGGATCCCATCGGGGCTCACAAAGCGGGAGTCACGGGGAGTCTCGATTCGGTGACTGCGGGCCTCTCTGGAGCGGAATGAGGGACCGCACCCGCCCCTCCATCTGCGCTCCATTCGGGGAGGCTGCAGGCGCGCACACACACACACGCTCTGACGACATTCTGGAGCCGAAAGCTCGTTGCATCTACGTATACGTAGTTTTGCCAGAAAGGGAAAATAGGAAAGAAAAACTCCAGTGATTTAAAACCCAGAAACAGATATGAAAAACTGGATCTTACATGATTTTTCTGATCTCTCCAAATCAGCCGGTGCGTACTAAGAAGGAGGGTCCCCGCGTCAAATTTTATCTAGAAAGACAAGATCGTCACAAAATGTGAATAACGTATCACTGTGTGTGCTCCAGTTTTTCTTCCTCAGAAACCACACAGCAGTAAACTAGTCGTAAATAAATACTTTGGAAGGAGGCTTATCACAAATGAAAGAGAAGCAATGCTACACATTCCATCAATTTTATGCACAGCCTTGTTAAAATCGGGGGAAACGCTGCAAACAGCCTGGGTGCATGACAACGGGGTCGGGGGGGACCTGGGCCCGCGGAGCGGAGTGTGGCGCCCCCATAGCCGGGACTCCGCGCGCGGGGAGAACGGATGGGGAGGCCGCGCACCACCGCGCACTGCCCCGGGACTCCACGACGCAGCGTTGCGGGGGTGGGGGAAGAAGGCAGCTTACAGCGTACCACCCGTGGCAGGTAGACAGGCAGACAGATGGATACATGTAGACAGACAGATACAATCTCCACATGCCCCGAACTACAGGCACACACACACGGAAGTCGGAGGGAAAGCTCGGCATGGAACACTCGGTGATCGGTTAGCGATGGCGATCGCAGAAGGAGGTGAAGGAATGGAGAGAAGCGAAGGGCCCTTCTTCAGAAACTTCACGATTGACTGAATTTTCCCCGTGAGATTGATTTTGTGTATAACACTCAAATAATTTTTAGATACTAAGAAAATCCAGAAATAGACACAAACACAAAGTAAGTGTCAACGGAGACTCAACCAATGGCGCTGGGACGACAGGGTCCCCCAGCAGGAAAAAACAATAAATGTGAAGTTGGGTTCATACCCAGCACACTGCACTGAAACAAAGTCTAGACGGAACAATTATCTGAGTTTGAAAAAGGGTAAAATTAGCCCTGACCAGTGTGGCTCAGCTGGTTGGGCATCATACCACAAAGCCCAAGGTCGCGGGTTCGATTCCCGGTCAGGGCTCTAGGCTGGGTTGTGGGTTCGGTCCCTTGTCAGGGGGTATATGAGAGGCAACCCATCAATGTTTCTCTCCCACATCGATGTTTCTCCCCCTCTCTTTCTCCCTCCCTTCCCCTTTCTCTAAAAATAAATATATGAAACCTTTTTAAAAGGATAAAACTATAAAAGCACTCCAAAACCCATGAGAGAATTTTTAAAATAATCTGAGTGGAGAAGTTCTTTCTAAGAAAAACATGAAAGCAACTAGCATTAGAGGAGAAGATTGATAAATCCAACATGGATGCCCACAAATCCTTCACGGCCAAACCCCCAAGGGCAGAGACAACAGGCTGGGAAAAATAACTGTGACCCACATCAGAGACCAAGGGCTGGTTTCCTTAAAACATGAAACACTCTTACGTATCAGCAGGAAAATAGCTGGTAATCCATTAGAGAAAGAGGCAGAGGCTACCACTAATGGGAGGTCTACAGAAAAGGGAAGACAAACCACACGTTAACAGATGCCCCGCCTCGCTGGTAAGAAAAAGACAAATTAAGGGGCCGTCAGAGACACCCCTTGCATCCGTGAGATTGGCTGGGCTCCGGAAGTTCGACGACACTGTGCTGGTGAACTGTGGGGGGTGCGCGTCCGCACGCACTGCTGAAGGCCCACCTTCACGGAGGCAGGTGCTTTAAAACCCATACGAACACACGTATCCTTTACTCCAGTGACCGCACTTCTGGGACTCTACCCCGCAGGTGAGTTCACATGTGTGTGCAATGACACGCTACGGTGTCATGCACTGCTGCTCGTTAGAGGCAAAAGGTAGGAAAGAATTTAAATGCCCATCGACAGGGAGATATACATCCACATGTAACGTCGAGTAACTCCGAAATGTGTATTAATTCATCTTGTCAAATCAAACACATGCAGAAACATTCTTTTATCCAAAAAGTCCTTGTGTAATTAAAAAAAGCACTTCTGACATGAAATTTAATATTTTTTAAAAGTAAGGTATGACAGTATTACCAGTATCTTAATATTAGTATCAACTGATACGGTTAATAAACTTTAATGGTGAGAGGCCCGTGAAACGACGTAATTTAAACACACTGTGAGCGATCACTCAACAGCACCGAGGAAAGTCTCTGCGAATCCCACATCTCCCTGTGAATCGGAAGCGAAACGTACATGCTGCTGTCACCGAGTTCCGAGTGGCTTCAAAGGTTTTGGTTGATCTTGTGTGTGTAAAACCAAGTAACTGAGCTTAAGATACTCTTCAAATCACTTTTTTTTGACAACAAGACTTTCCTTTTCCAACATCAAATGTTTTACCAACTTAGGAGCACATGCACGAGGTTGCATCAGAACATGATAGTTCGATGAGGAAACCGCAGCTTATTTTACTGAAAGCCGCGAGGAAGGCTGTGAAGTCGGGGTGTGTTCCGCTGCAAAGTCAATGAACAGGGTGCAAACGTAAAGACGTGAAACGTTGCTGCTCTAAGTGCAGAAATTGTGCAACAGTGCCCTCCAGGGATTCCCAGGGACTGTGAGCAGAACCCAATCGACGAGTTCAGGCTGGTCCGCTTCTACCACCAGGAAGATGTGAGCTACTTAAACACTGGTCTCACTTAGGCATACAATGACTAATACACTCATACTCTGTTTTGTTTTTTAAAGATTTTTTCATTTTTAATGTATTTTTTTCCTTTACCAGTTATCATCCTCTGTCTTATTTTCTTTATTTAGCATTTTTTTCCTGTTAATAGCATACTGCTGAAAATTTGGAAACTATTTTTTAAAGCTACAAAAGAAAATGAAAGCACTCGATCATCTTATGCAAACGCAGCACACATATGTGATGTGCACCAGTTCTGTCCAGAAAAAGCCCAGCCATGGTTAATATAACGAGAACATCAATGTACCCTGGCGGCCAAGGAGAGTGGACTGGAACGCACATGTGAACAATGATGACTTCACTGTACTAGTCAGTGGGGGTGGCAGAGGCTGTTGAGTGAGCATGTGTACTGTGTGGCTGTTGCATTCAAACTGGCTAAGTAGAGCAAGGAATACGCATCAAATTTTGTTTAAGCTTGAACATTCCTCCGTGGAAACTAGCCGGATGATTCAGAAGGCCACAGCTATGGGCAGCTGGTAACTGGCAGATTCATCGCCACAACATGCCCACTCATGCATCACATCTCCCACAGAGTTTTTTGGCAAAACATCAAATTACATGTGACTCAGCTCCCTACAGCCCAGATTTGGTGCCCTGTGACTTCCGGCTTTTCCCAAAACTAAAATCACCTTTGAAAGGAAAGAGATTTCAGACTGTCCATGAGATTCAGGAAAACACGATGGGGCAGCTGATGGTGACCAGGAGAACGGTGTGAGGTCCCAGCGTGCCCACTTTGAAAGGGACTGAGGCATCATTGTCCTATGTACAGTGTTTTCTTGTATCTTGTGTCTTTCTCAATAAATTTTCAATCTTTTTCATACTACGTGGCTGGACACCTTCTGGACAGACCTCATATATATGTGTGTGGTGCATGTGTATAATCTTTAAATAAAATGAGGCCACATTTATAGTTTTTTAACATGCTTTTTTCACTCAGCAGCCTATCATTAGCAAATTCCTCATGCTGACGAGGACACGTCATAGTTAATTAACCAATCCCTGCAGTGGGCATTCGGATTACTTCCAGTTCCCCTGTGTGTGTAACATGTCACATAGTATCGCTGCGATGAGCATCCTCATTCACTATACCTTTATGCATTTCTGATTATTTCCCAAGGGCAAATTCCTAACGTGAAACGGCTAGACAAAAGGACATCTAGCTGCTTTCTAATTACTAAAAATATTTCCTAAACCTTCTAGTATATGCGGCCAAGTTGCCACTTTACATGCTACAGATCTTCTTAAAGTACTTTTTACATTAGCTGAGGCTACGGTCCGGGCCAGGCAGTTCAGTTGTTTGGGGTGTCGTCCCATACACCAAAAGGCTGTGAGTTCGATCCCCAGTCGAGGTGCGTATGGGATGCAACCAATCTCTCTCTCTCTCTCTCTCCCCCCCTTCCCCTCTCTCTAAAAATCAATATCTGTGAATGAGGATTAAAACAAAAAAATTAGCTGAGGCTACAGAAGCTTCTGTGAATGGAAACAAACAGCCCACCTACATTGCTCACGGAAACAACAAATTACCCAGTCTTAAAGGGCCCTGGAAAACTGTGACTGCATCAGTGGCAAGCCCGGATTGACCCACCAGAGGCACCTGGTTGGTGGGGAGAGCACATCCGTCGTAGCTCCACCGGTTACTGGCTGCGTGCCCTGGGACGGGCCAGTTTTCTCACCTACCAGCTGAGGGTCTCGGAGTGCTCATCCTCAGGACGGTTGGCTGCATCAGACGTCACAGAAAGCGGCTGGCGCGGGTGACGGTGCATTTCCGAAGCACGGTGTTGCAGTGTGCAAAGCACAGGTGCTGGGAGTCTGGTCGATGGAGATTGAACTCCAGGGTCTCCTTATAACCGCGGGTCTTAGGCAAGTCGCTTTCCCTCCGAGAGTTACTTTCTCCCTCAGTAAAAGACTCACTTCATGTGCCCATTGAGAGGAGTAAATGAGACCGGATATGGAGCTCCTTGCACTGAACAGGTGCTCTAATTATTCCGGATTTCGGTTAAAAATGTATTTTACACCCACAGCGACACAGAAGACACAAGGGTGAGTAAGGACACTCCAAGAGCATCCCGCTGGTCTTCGAGACAGCCGGGTGCGCACCTGCCTGGGAAACCCGTTGGGAGGCACAGCCCTGAAGGCTACTGATCCTCGGAGCCAGTGGAAGATTTTTAAAGGGAACTAGATCAGGTCTGGAGGCTAATGGGCAGCTTCTGAGAATCCTCAGCCACCAAGGTCTGGAAGGCAGGACACAGGACTTTTTCCAGCCGGGCCCTCAGCCATAATAGCAACAGCTCAGCGGGTGACTATCCCAGCCCGGGACCTCCGGTGCACTGGCTCATTTTAGAGCTCCGCTTTAACTTCAGGACACCCACGCCCCACCCTCCCCACCCCCGGTGCTTACAATGGGTAAGAGAATTCTTGACTAGAGCAAAGGGTCTCAACTAACTTTCTTAACCCTCCGATACCTACATCTACTTGTCTGCTAAAGCAAGAAGCCAAAAGTGTAAAGGGAAAACCAGAATTTGCTGGCTTAACAATGGTTTTTCATACACGGGTACTAATGGTTTTGATTTTTTATTGTTCTAAATACATCAGAGTTACAGTAGGTGTCGACCGGGTGTTCCTAATCTGCATGCTGGGATTAGACAGAACAGTGGAGGGCTGCAAACGCATGCCTCCCAGAAGGGCGTGTCTGCCCTGGTCCGGTTCCGTTCTGAGCGCGGGGCCTCATCACACCCACTGAGGGTGGGCAGGTGCATCAGGCTGGGGCATCCTCGTTTACAACAGTCCCAAAGGTGCCACCTTGCTTTAAAAAACAAAAACATCTACCAGTCACTCCAACCAAAAGGTGCACACCCAATGTGAGACCAGGTTCATAAAAGTGCTGAGGCGGCAAACGGCTAAATCCAGGCAAATGCCTTAAGAAAAAGGCATTTTTCTTAATGGCTCAATAACGGAGACATTATGCCAAGTGAAATAGGCCACATCGGAGAAAGACAAATACTGTATGATTTCGCTCATTGGTGGAATCTGATGAACAAACTGAACTAACAAGGAAAATAGAGACGGACTCATAAATGGAGAGCAGGGTGACAGTTGTGGGGGAGGGGGTTTGGGGGTGGGGGGAGGGGTGGGGCAAAAAAAAAAGGGCTCACGGACACAGACAACAGGGGGGGTGATGGGGTCGAGGAGGGGAGGGGGGCGAATCTGGGAGTGGGTATATGGGGGATAAATGGAAAAAAATACAGTAAAAATAATAAAAGAAAAACAGAAAACGCCCTAAGGAACGCGAGCGCCTGGACCCCCTGCCCCCTCCATTCCCCGGGCAGGGGAGGCCTCCAGCTGGCGTCCGCGCCGACCGGGCACAGGTCCGGGAGGTATGCAAAGGTATAGAAGGAAGTTCACTAAGAGAACGAGGAAGGAGAAATAGCAAGTGAAACTTCTGGAAACTAAAAACGGGTGTTTACATCTCTTTCTATTTCCAGTTTATACATTTCTTCCAGGAGAGGACGACAGTTGGCCGTCTGATGGAAGTCTCCGCAGAACCTTTCCTTCCAGCAAATATTTGCCTATTGGTTAACCCATCTCCAAAGGCTGTGCTCGGACAAGGCACCGCCTACTACAGCTCTTCACAAAAGTCCTTTCTAAAGTAATTACAAAAAAAAAACAAAAAAAAAGCCTTTAGCTTTTTGGCGTTTCGAAGAGGCACTGGCACCTCTTTTCAGAAATCCGCTCAAGCGATCCGTCTACAGACCCGCCAGGCCGCGCCTGATCCCGGGCGGCGCCGGAAGGACCCACAGATCGGGGTTCGCCGACTGGACCGCGGCCGCGTCCCAACAAAGGCGGGGCGGGCCTGCGCGGGCGCTCCGCCCGGATCCGGGTCTCAGATGCCGAGACCACCCAAAGTGGGGGCCTCCGCGATCGCGCCGCGAACGCGTACCGCGGCGCCCCTCTCGGTCCACGCAGGCTGGACCACCCCAAGGAGATTGTCGGGGGGCGGAGGGGAGCGGCCACGGTCCGCGCCCGCTGGGAACCGGGCCGGTGTCCAAGCCAGGACGCAGCGCTGCGCGGGCGCGGACGGCGCCGGGGAGGCCCCGCAGGCCAGCCCCGACTCCACGCTGGGGGCGGGGAGCGCCGGGCCGCGCCGCGCGGGGCGGTCCTACCTTCTCCTCGCCATCGTAGATGCGCACCCCGCGCTGCTGGATCACCAGGGTCTCGTTGATCTCCAGGAGGCCGCTGGTCCACACGAAGCGGTCCATGGTCTCGGCCTGGCCGGTCCCAGCGGCTCGTCCGCGCCGCCGCTCGCGGACAGCTCGAGAACGCTGGGCGGCCTGCGGCGCCCCCTGGCGGCGGGAGAGGAGGGAGCGGCAGGTGGGCGCTCTAGGGAGCGCGCGGGCCCGAGGCTCCAGGAACGTGCATCTGTGCTTGGCGCGCCCCCTGGCGGTAGTTTGCCAACGGTCAGCAGAGACGCCCACTCCACCTTCTCCCAGCTGGGGCACAAACCCAGACCTTACAAGGGACTGTGACGGACCCCACACCATACCTTGGACTTCCATATTGTGCATTATTTCTGCATATCTGTACCGTTTTCTTGTCAGTTCCCAGCATGTTACCATGTTCGGTAAAGGTTGTAAATGGTATTTTTTTAAAGATTTATTTATTTATTTTTAGAGCGGGAAGGGAGGGAGAAAGAGAGAAACATCAATATGCGGTTGCTGGGGGTCATGGGCCGCAACCCAGGCATGTGCCCTGGCTGGGAATCGAACCTGCGACACTTTGGTTCACAGCCTGCACTCAATCCACTGAGCTACGCCAGCCAGGAGATTGTAAGTGGTATTTTTCCCCAAATGAATATTTATGGCCTGAATTGTTCTTACACAGCTACAATGGAAAGTCAGAAACTGGATTTAGTGTGATTTTGACTTAACCTGTAGCCCGAGCACTCTGTTCCGTGTCTTCACAGCACACCCTGTAAGCCGCAGCCCTTTCCCGGAGGCGGCAAGAAACAGAGGCCATTCCTGGACAGGAGATGCGTGCTTTGTTAAGCTCAAGATAACATTGTGGCCTGAGTTGTATTTCAGCTCCCGAGCCCTAAAGCTGAAAGACCCCCAGCCACATCCTCATGCAGCCAAGCTGAAGGACCCCAAAGCTGACCTCAAGACCTAAAAAATGATTTACCTCCCTTACCTCACTCTTTAAATTTTTAAAAAATTGCGAGTTATGTAAAACTATATTAGTTTCAGGTGTACAGCAGTGTGGCTAGACATTCACATAATTCATGAAGTGATCCCCCTGGTAAGTCTAGTACCTATTTAGCACCATACATGTAAGTTATTATTATTTTCCTTGTGCTGTACTTTACATCCCCATGACTATTTTGGAACCATAAATTTGTACTTCTTAATCCCTTCATCTTTTTCACCTAGTCCCCCAACCCCCCTCCCATCTGGCAATTGTCAGTTTGTTCTCTGTATGAGTCTATTTTTCTTTTGTTCGTTCATTTATTTTGTTCTTTAGATTCCACATATAAGTGAAATCATACGGTATTTGTCTTTCTCTGTCTGAGTTATTTGACTTAGCATAATACCCTCTAGGTCCATCCATTTATCACAAATGGTAAGATTTCATTCTTTCTTTGGCCAAGGAATATTCCATGCATCTCTACCTAACCATCCACTGATGGGCAGTTAGGTGGCCTCCATACGTCGGCTATTATAAATAATGCTGGTTACATGAGCACTTGAATCTATATTCTGCTGCTGTGGGGTGAAACGCTCTAAAAATATCAATGAAATGCATCTGGTCTACTGTGTCATTTAAGGCCACTGTCTCCTTTTTGATTTTCTGTCTGGAAGATCTATCCATTGAGGACATAGTAGGGTGTTAAAGTCTGCTACTGTAACTTTATTACTGTCAGTCTCTCCCTTTATGTCCATCAATGTCTTATTTATGTATGTAGGGGCTCCTATGTTGGGTGCATAAATGTTTACAAGGGTTACATCCTCTTGTTGTGTTGAGCTCTGTGTCATTATGCAATGTCCTTCTCTGCCTGTTATTACAACCTTGGTTTTAAAGTCCAGTCTGTCTAAGTATTGTTCCCCCAGCTTTTTATTTCATTTCCTTTTGCATGAGATATCTTCTTCCATCCCTTTACTTCCAGTCTTTGTGTGTCTTTCCACCTGAAGTGGGTCTCTTGTAAACACCACGTGTGTGGGTCTTGTTCTCATCCCACTCAGCTACCCTGGGTCTTTAGTCGGAACACTTAATCTATTTACATTAAAGCAATTATTGATAGGTATGGAGTTATTGCCATTTTATTATTTATAATCATGTTCTCTCCCCTCTTTCTTCTTAAAGAAGTCCCCTCAGCATTTCTTGTATCACTGAGTGTTTGCTGCTACCCTGTCTTCCAAATCACTGATTCAGTCCTCTGCTTCATCTAATCTGTTCTGGATTCCTTCTCGAGTATTCATTTTTAATTTTATGTATTTTTTCAATTACATTTTACACTCCATATTATTCTGTATTAGCTCAGATGTGCAGCAAAATGGTTAGAAAAATTATGCACTTGATAGAGTGTTCCCCCCTCATGCTTCCAGTACCCACCTGGCCCCGAACAGTTACCGTAATACAGCGTACTCATTTCAGTTATTGTGTTCTTCATTGCCGACTGGTTTAATTTTATTATTTTATGTCCTTTATGTTTACTATATCTTTATTGAGGTTCTAAGTTCCTTGAGAATCCTTACAACCAGTGTTTTGAATTCTGTGTTCGGTGGATTGCCTGCCTCCATTTCATTCAGTTTTTTCTGGAATTTTTTTGCCCTGTTCTTTCATGTGGGACATGATCCTTTGTCTCCCCTTTTGGGCTGTCTCTCTCTCTCTCTCTTTCTTTCTTTCTTTTTAAAGATTTTATTTATTTATTTTTTAGAGAGGGGAAGGGAGGGAGAAAGAGAGGAAAATGCCAATGTGTGGTTGCCTCTCACGCACCCCCTACTGGGGACCTGGCCTGCAACCCAGGCATGGGCCCTGAGTGGGAATCCAACTGGTGACCCTTTGGTTCGCAGGCCAGTACTCAGTCCACCGAGCCACACGAGCCAGGGCTCTGTGTTTGCTTCTATGTCTTAGTTAGGTCTGCTACATCTCCCAGTCTTGGCAGGGCGGACTTATGCAGCAGGTGTTCTGTGGACCTCAGTGGTGCCATCTCCCTGGTCACCTGAGCTGGGTGCTTCAGGAGTGTCCCTCGCGTGGGCTGGGTGCCCTCCTGTTGTAGTTGAGCCTTGACTGCTGTTGGCATGTCAGTGGGTGGGTTGAACCTCAGGCTGCTGACTATGTTTCAGCCACAAGCACAGCATTCTAGCTGCTGTGTGGGGGCTGATTCCACAGGGCAGGACTAGCCCCAAGGGCTCTGATATCTGCCGCTGCCGAGACCTCCTCTCTGGCCCCCACCAGTCTTCAGAAACAGCCCTTCCTGTCCTATCTGTGTGGCAGGGAAAACAACTAATTACTGAGCATGCGCTCTCCCTGCAACCAACTCCTGAAGCCCCAAGGAGTCCCCCCTCATCCCTAGTTCGGAATGTCATGTACCTCATGTTCCCTTTCTGTCTGCGAATCTCTGGGGTATGTGGGATCTCTGACTCTCATGTCTGTGGGATTCCTGTGTACACAAAATTACATTTGATTTTCACTCGTCAGTCTGTCTCACGTTGATTTGATTATTCAACCAACCAAAAGAACCAGGGGTCAGAAGGGGCCCTTTTCTCTTTCCACACACTACTGTTCGGTTAAGTGGCTCATGATTACATCTGACTTTATAGATCAGTGTATGTGGGGTTCCCTCAACCCCTGCACAGGGCAGCCCACTAGGGTCTCACGTGGAACAGACTGGCAGGTGTGGTTCCCATCAAAGGCACGTTACAGAGCCCTGTGCAAACGGACACGAAAACTTGATTCAACGGGTGTTGAGAGAACATGAACATTCAAATGAAATTTTAAAACCTGAAGTTGAGTAGGTTATCAGAGAGGAATGAACAAACAGACAAACAAACAAACAAAAAACACTTGAGGACCATATAATTTCACAAGTGAATTCTTTTAAACCCTGACAGAACAAATAATTATTTTCCCACCTAAACTTTTCCAGAGTACAAAGAAAGTTTCCAAGTTCTCTTTATGAAATCAGAAAAATTGATTCTAAAATCCAACAAAAATACTGTAAATAGAGAGAGAGGGGTCACACATAAATATGAATGCAAAAATCTCAAATAAAGTATTTGCAAAAACAAATAAACAGAATATTAAAAGAATGGTGTAGCACAATTCAAGCGCAGTTTACCCAAGGAGTGCAAATACAATTCAACATTAGGAAACCTGTGTTCAAAATTTAATTAAGAGGTCAAAAAAAGATCAAATAACCATCAAATAGTAAAAAGATATTTGACACAATTCAGCATTCCTAATTTTAAAAATATTTTATAAATTAACAAATACTTTCTTAACATATTAAGAACCTTGTTCAAAAACTGACTTGGGCACTAAATAGCAATTTCCTTCCTTCCTTCTTCTCTTTGAAGTTCCTTTATTTAGCTACATATAATTTACCATATATATGTTGCACCATAAATTGCATTTTTAAATATGCAATTTGATGAGTTTCAACTACAGTTGTAACCGCAATCATATAGAGAATATTTTCATCATCTGAAAAGTTTCCTCTGGCCACTTTGCATTCATTTCTCCAACTTCTTGGCCCCTAAGAACCACTGGTCTGCTTTTTGTCACTATAATTTTGCCTTTTCTAGAATTTCACGTAAATGGAATCATAAGGATTGTAGTCTTTCATATCTGGCTTAAATGTAATCCATTTTTCATGACTTGTCCAGTTATTGCATTCCTCTGTATTTTTGCCTTTTTATTGCTGAATAGTACGTAGTCAATTATATGGTTCTGTAACAATTTATCCAGTCACCAGTTGGTGGGAAATTGGTTTTATTTAGTATGTGCATAGACAGTTTTCCCAACACCATTTCTCAGAAAGATTATCCTTCTCCTCCATTGAGGTGTCTCAGAAACTTTGTAGAAAACTGACCCGCCATAGAGACTTGAGTATACAGGGTGTGGCAAAAAGAGGTTTACAGTTGTTGGTATGGGAAATAATAAAATAATAATAAAACAAGAATAAACTCTGTGTTTCGTGTGCTCACAACTGTAAACCTACTTTTGCCCAGCCTATATTTCTCAATCTCCATTGTAGTCTATTGATTTGCTGTTCTTTACACCAATGCCACACTGTCTTGATTACTGTGGCTTTATAATACATTTTGAAATCAGATAGTATT